CTGAGCAGCAAGAGCAGAGCAGGGATGAACGCACACGCTAAAGTTTGTGTTGGAGGTCAGTTAGGCCGTACGGGTGGAGAGCCTCAGCAAGTTAAAGGTTAGCATCCTCCTCGCTGCTCGTCGTACCTCTCCCACCCCGCTAGCACACATGCTAATGCAGGTCACGTACAGAAGCAGGCTGCATACACACTATATCAAATATGTCAGCCTGTTAAGATACACACACCTCCACAGAAACGCACTGAAAGAAACTCCTGATCAAAGGTCTGAGACTAACAGCACACACAGCAGGGTGAAACTTCCACACCTCACCTATAAAACCACCACAGAAGTGTTGGATGCTCAGTGAGCGCCGGGGTGGCAAACTTTAATTCTTGCAAAAGGTTGATCAATTTCCTATTATTTGATCTGATTTTATTAGCGTCAACATCATCAACATGTTTGATGAAGAGCAAACATGATGCAGACGATGTAGGACAACTCGAACATGCCTGAGAAGGACCGTTTACGAAGTTTGGATGAACCTTCAGACTCGTAAACTGAAATCACAGCAGAAAACACTCAGATCTGATTTATGACAACATCTGCATATCATAATAATGATAACAAAAGTAGCTCCTCAGACGTGTAACTGATGAGTCCGATGAAGGAGGAAGTAATAATGGAGCACATTATAATTCTTTACGTCCAATAAAAGCTGCCAAACCAGTGTTAGAACAAATCTAACATTAAGAGAACCATCGAGAAAAAGTGAACAGCAGACAGAGAGACAGCAGGTTGGTCACATCAGGTCCAGTCGGTGCTGCTCCTCGATATTAATGTTTTCCAGGGGTGGGGTGGGGGTGGGGGTGGGGGCGAAATAAAGGATATGCAGGGTGTGATTGAGGTGGGTGATCTGCTGCACCCTCAAACGAAGCAAGAAGAAGAAGAGTGGTTTATTTGTACAGCACCAACACGCAGTCGATTTAATGTGCTTCATATTTTAGGGTAAAGACCCAACAGACAATCTACGCACGTGGAAACCAAATCTACACCACCATCAGAGGTGGGCTTCACGTGTGCA